AAAATGAAGGCTAATCATGTTTTGGGTGTACTATTCCTTTAATACTCTGTAGTCAGGTGCAGAGCTAGATGGGGGGCCTGGGGTGGCCATGGCCACCCTTTTTTCCCCCTCTAATATAGATGGTAGCAGCAGTAATACTCTGAAGGGGAATGTTCAAACTTATTAAACATTAAAATTTTTCATATATTAACAACAGAAACACAGTGATTAATATACTCACATTAAAGATGATAAGTGGAGAATTCACGCTTTTTTCAGAACTAGATTTTGTGTAATTTGGGAAAAATATGTCATCTAGGAATCTTCAGTGAAATCATAGATAAATAACTAATTTATTAATAACTTAAACATTCATTAAATGTAGATATTAGTACATTTAAATATAATTTTTTTGCAGAAGGATTACTGATAGAAGTAGGTAATGACAATGTAAAATATGTCGCCCCAGAACTCAAACCTGAAAGACTTTTCTCCACTATACCTTTTATTTAGATGCCATGGATATTTAAATATATATGTGTAAGAAAGTATGTTTAGCTTTTATTTATAAAATATGGATGTTGTGCTTGTTGCTGTTGGAACAGCGTAGATTGACCCTGAGGTTCTGGTGCCTTTCGGTCACCCCTCAATGTACATTGGTTATTAGCTGGCCGCCCGTAAGGATTTTCTGGCTACGCCTCTGTCTGTAGTACTTTGTTCAACAATACCTGCCTTACATTGGCTACAAGCTGCTTAAACATTTAAATTATTCATTCATTTTCATCTTTAGATTTTTAACTTTCTTCCGGCTCTCCTCGCAGACGCCGCCCCGAACTAAAGTATGGGTCGGTTGGTTCCTTTGAAGTCTCATTTTCTTTTAATTGGAAGCTTCAAATATGTGTTTTTGTTGCTTTTGTGTTGTAAATATTGCTTTGATTTGAACAAAATGATGAAATCATCACTTGGATAATAAAAAAAGTGTGCTATCAAAATGAATTTTAGATAAATATAACTGCATGATCTAATTTTAGATCAGCCTTACTTGACATTTAGCTGTGCCACTGTTGATGGCTTCATGAATAAATATTAACAGTTTGTTCTGAAACAGGTTCACATATTAACATCGTGAACACGTCCGTTAGTGAACGGTCCGATACCTGGTCCTGCTCTCCTCCTCCTTCCTCGTTATAGTTGAGGATGTTTTCCCGGATGTCTTCCCAGCTCTGGTGTTCAGCAGGAATGTGATAAACTCCTCGCTTCCTGAACTTGTTTCTGCTTCCTTTCTGGTTCCAAACCGTCACCGCTACCAACACGACTGCACACATGGAAACACGTTGGACATAAGAAGCTTAGCAGAGCAACTTTATATGGAAAATGTTCCAAACCAGCTGATAAGTTAAAAATCTTCATGGCAGAAATATTAATCTCACATTGATATTTACTTAAAAGAAACTGGAATTACCGAAGGTATGGAGTGCCAAATGTAAAAAAAAAAAAAATGTTGCATTCCTGTTATTTACAAAAATGTCTTTATATTTAATTATTTTTCTGATATTTAGATGAAAATCGCTAAATATAAACATATAAAATCTCTATCTAAATTAATATATTTAATTGATCTCTACATCCTATATCTATATATGAATATTACATTTATATATAAATCTTAAATCTATATCTCAATCTATAATCTAATTATATAACTTATATCTACATTTTTATTTTAAATCTTAAATCTAAAGAAATTATTGAAAAACAAAATCTTAAAACCAAATATGAATGTTAAATTCATAATTTTTATTTTAATGTATCTATTGAATCTAAATGTTAAATCTGAATCTTAATCTATATTTTAAAACAAACAAACCTTAATGTTCAATCTTAAATCTATTCTAAATGTGAACATATTTCTATAGCTACGGAAGAGGATTAGGGCCACTGAAGAAAAAAGAAAGTTAACTGATTTTTAAATTTTATTTCAGTTTAACGTGGGGAAAAAAGTCAGAATTCTGAGATTAAAGTCAGAATTCTGAGATTAAAGTCAGAATTCTGAGATTAAAGTCAGAATTCTGAGATTAAAGTCAGAATTCTGAGATTAAAGTCAGAATTCTGAGATTAAAGTCAGAATTCTGACTTTTTCCCATATTAAACTGAAAAAAAAAAAGTAAAAATCAGTAAACTTTTTTTTTTCAGTGGCCGTAATCCTCTTCCGTATATATCAAATCTAAATCTGCATATCTATATTCAGATAAATGTAAGATTTAGATATAAATTCAAGATTTAAATGTGAGATAATTATTGATTTAACATTTATATCTATTATTTGCCAATGTTAGAAAAAAGCACCAAATATGAAGAAAGAAATAAAACTGCGAAAATTGTTTTGCTATTTTTTTTGTTTAGTTTGGTACCCCATAGAAGTGAGTTACAGACAAATAGCAAAACATTTACTTGAACTAATAGAGGTAATATTGCTGAAAAAAACTATGATAAATAAATAAATAAATAAACCATGCATGTTGGTAACTGTCCTCTATGCATGTTTGGAGATGAAACCCACAGTGGGAACAGCCTGTGCCTGAATCCATCGGGAGCTTTGGGGCTGTTGGAAGCAGGCAACCAAGGTCAGGCTGATCTGATGACCAGTCGGAAACTTTTATGTAACTCTGAAGCCAGCTTTTCAGTGCGAATGGAAAAACCATTGATGATCAAACTGTTACACAAGTTAGAGCTGCAGGTCATTTCCTTTTAATAACTTAGATCAGGAGTAGTTCACAGTTTCAATCATTTTTAAAAGTGTAAATCTGTCAGCTAATATTAGCTCACATTTAACAGTTTTTCCCTATTGAAATTTATACTCAAAGTATTTGAACATGCTTTATTATAGTGCGTTTTATGCTTTCTTGTTTAAATCAAACCTTGTTTTTGGTTTATTTATGGATGACGAGTTGGGCGGGGGTTTGTCAAAACAGTATAGGATGATTTCTTTGCTTATTGAAATGTTTAAACCTCAGAATATTCCCTTTAGTAAATGTGGCCACCATCAAATACTGTAAAACTTCCTAAAAGACTGGCTTTGATTGTTTTATTTAATGAGTTATTTATCAGAAATCTGACTTTTTCATGTGCATTGCTGTTGGACTTCAGATAAAACCTGACAGAAAACCTGTGGGCTCTTTGTTTGAACTACAAAAGCCGACAAAGAAGCAGAATATTGATCCTCCTTGATTTGCATCATTCCAGAAGGGGGTGCTAAGATTGCTAATAATAGCTCTCACTACGCACGTCTCTATTTTACTTAAAAGTTTTGATTCCACCAATCAGGGACTCAGCTACAGGCAGTCAGTGAGTGTTGCTGTTTGTGTAACTTTTACCTTTAGTATAACAGAAAAACCTGCTAATTTCTAATGTTGCTAATGCTGCAACTACATGTATGAGGACACACACTCCTCACAAGGAAAAAAAAAGCAGCATGAAAAAGGGTCTGGATGAGTGCTTTTAATTTTTGTCTCATAAAAATGATTTGAAAAGGATCGCACTCTAAAAAGAAAATGCAGCCTCAACTTAAAGGTATAGAAGATGGTCTTTTATTTCCATTTGGATCATCGAAATAAGTGGTCCTCCTAATTGTCAATCATTCTGATATGATATATGCACTGCAAAAAAGATCTAGAAATAAGTAAAAAAATTCTTAAATTAAGTGTATTTACCCTTACTTTGAGTAGGTAAATACGATGATGCCAATTAAATTAGTATCCTTACTCTTAAAATATGATAATTAGATAATAGAACTTAAAATAAGACAATGCAATTGTTTTTTTCTTTTTTTAAATGTAAATTGTCTTGTTCCATTGGCAAAGTCTCTCACTTTCGACCTCAATTAGAGAAAAAATGCACTTACTGTAAGAAAAAATTACTTANGAGAAAAAATGCACTTACTGTAAGAAAAAATTACTTACTTATATTTCCGTTTTTTGCAGTGTGTGATATGTTTACGCAAGGCCGTCCTACACGCTCGTACCGTTAGCTATATTTTTTTGTGCATGCGCACTTTCAGGCGTATATATGTGTGTATATTTGTCCCTAAAGTGTGATTTAGGGACAAATATCATAACAATGCATAAAAAGTTAAACTGGTTGTTGGTTAAAGACAGACTTTCATACTTATTGACTGTTATGATTAGAAATGTATCTGTATTAAAAACACCTTATATTTTATTTACAAACCTTGCTTTTAGTTCGGAGAATCACGAATACATGACTAGACATGCAACTGAAGGAAACTTTAGTTTGCCTAAAGCAAAGTCAAATGCCTTAATAAGAACTGTTATGTATAGAGGTATGAAAGCATGGAATTTACTGCCATATTACATGAAATTGATAACTGATTTAAGGAAATTTAAAAGATCATTGAAAGAACATTTATTAAATATAGAGGTAAAACACGATTAGGACTGTGAGGGAGTACACAGTCTTCTTCACTTGCTGTGCTTTGTAGTTTGTTTTGATTAGTTTGGATTATTTCTGTGTATGTATATGGGTATATGTATATATGTATGTGTATATGTGTGTATGTATGTATATATGTATAGATTATGGGAGATGTTGTTTTAATGTCCACATAATTTTATTTCATTTGTAATTTTTTATTTCATATTTTGTTGTTGGACCCCAGGAAGAATAGCTGTAGCTTGCTACAGCTAATGGGAATCATAAATAAACTAAACTATACTATATGTGTGGTGAGCTACGGTTTCAGGCAGTCATTGAAGCTCACCTTTCTTACCGCGGTTCTTTGAAAATGGCATAAAAGAAAAAGTGTCAGCGAAGGTTACGATAAGAAAAGAAAGGCCTCAGAAGAGCGTGCTCTCCTCGCAAAGCATTATGGGATTTGCTGTCACAGCGGCCTGCTGTCCCCATAGGCTGTCGCTACCCGACAGCGGCGGCTAATAACAAAGATGGTGCAGGCACCGCGCGGTGGAGGAGGAGTTATGTGACCAACAGGGAGCAACAAGTTGTGATCATCTGTCTGAACGGTCAGTTAACTGAGCTCACTATAAAGTCAACTCTATAGTCCCCGCTCTATATAGTGATTAAGGGATTTAGGGGTTAAAATGGACGTTCGAACATAAGCTTGTAAGAGCTATAAGAACAGCAATATTTTTTTTTTTTTGAACAATGTTTTTATTTATTTCCAATAAGAATATACAAAAACATGTTGACACGTGTTGCACCATTACAACTTTTAAACAGAGCGTGCACGAGGAGAAATGGGCTGGTGCATGGCTCTCGCAAGCACATTTCTTTTAAAGTGGAGAGGGCGGTTCTTTTAAAAAATCCTCCACAATACCTTTAAATTAATTACTTCAATTGGTAACAAGTAATTGAAATAAGTTTTCCCAACTTAATTTAGTTTAAGACTTAAAAACCTCATAAGTTAAGTTGGATCAACATGACTTCTTGGTCCTTGGCGATTGAAGTAATTAATTTAAGTTGGAGCTGCAGTTTCTTTTTAAAGTTTTATTTTTAGTTTCTTTTTACATAAACATGTTTATGTAGAATAACAGGTTATGACTCCTTTAAAACCATCTGAACAGTTATTATCGGCTCTTACCGATAAAGACAAGCAGGCACATGCTGATGGCCAGGATGGAGCTGGGACTGAGAGAGGCCATCCTCTGACCTTTGACCTGCCCCAGCTCACAGCGGTGACCCCTGAAGCCCTCCTGACAGCGGCACTGGTAACTGTCGGGGGAGAGCGCATGGCATACGCCGCCGTTACGACAGGAAGACGGACCGCAGGGTGACGGAACACAACGCTGGAGACCCGACTCATCCGTTACTGTCACCTGCGGACCCGGACACCTGGGAAAGGATGGAGATCAGGAGAGAGGACAGGATGAGCGAATGCTACCAACGGCACCAAATTACTTTAAAGGGATTCATCAAACATGAAGATATTTAATTCTTGTAGTTAGCGGGTTTGTGTTCCTGCGTTATTTACTTGCACTGATGTTTTCTCCACAGGTCGATGCAGCGCAGCGGGCTGCGGCACGGTTGGCTTCTGCAGGCGTCGCTGGAGCAGCCTGAGGTGACCCCTCGCCTCTCCAGCACCGTCACCAGGTCCAGACTGTGCCCGTCCAGAGGGAGGACGTGGCCGTTGAAGCGGACGTCCCGCAGACATCCTGCATCAGGAAAAGCTTTTATTCTACCGGTTTACAGCTTTTAACACAGCGGATGTGGGTCTGCCGCCAGTAGGGAATAATCTATTAAGTCCAAAGCTAATAATTTATTCCTTTATGGTCCTCTTTCTAAAGTTTGAGCAAATACTTTTCAGAACGGCGCAGACCAAGAGCTCACCCTGAAAGTCGGCCTTCTCTCCGGCGTTCGGTCTGTTGCCGATCATCAGGCTGGCCGGATGAACCACAATCTCCCTGCGGCTCCCCAGCTGAGCCTGAACCTCCCGTGACCCCCCTCCCTGCTCCAACCGCAGGGTGAACGTGTTGTCGTGGCGACCAAGGCTGACCAAGACCCACTGTCCGACGTCCACTCTTTGAGCCGGGAGTTGGAGCGAATGGGCACCGTCTCCCAGGTTGGCGCGAACCGAGACGTGACCATCAATAATCTGAGTAGAAGAGAAGAAGCAACTTAGTTACATTTTTCTGTTTCAATCAGGGCGTTTTTAAAACTCTGGTTGTTTGTTTATGTGAGAAAAGATGAATAGGATCCTTCTTTCTGTCGACTCTGGGTTATTCTATTTCAGGGTTTATACAGGAATAAGTAATTCTAATTTAATGCCTTTTAATGCTCTTTTTATATATATATAAACAAAATGCCTCCAGCCACTTTTTTCGAAATTAGCATTTTCCCCTTCTCTCGTTTTTTCTCCGTCTCAAGCTTCTTTTCTGAACATACGGCTTTACGATCAATCGGAAGCAGTTCCACGCAAACACGCAGAACCAGTTATAGCTGATATACCTGACGAAAATGTTTTTATAAATGTAATTTTTTTTTTATAAAGCATTTTAAATGCCACAATAATCACATTTAATAAATTATAATGCCAATTAAGGCCTTAATTCAAATAAATTATAATTTAATGACTTTTAACGACCCGCAGAAACCCCTGTATTTAACCTCTTTCTGTTACAATGATTAGTTATGAAAAGGCTGGAGAAGCTTGTGGGCCCTCCTTCAGGGACAGGAATTTTACCTCATCTTTAACTGGCTCATCTTAATTCTTGCACCATTAGTCATCTTTAAACCAACATATAAAGCTGAGAGCATGTGCCACATAGCAAAAAAAAAATAAAATAAAAAAATCTAAATAGAAAAGAATAGAATAGATTATTATTGTCCCACAATATGGAAATTCTGTTGCTTACAGCAGAAAAAAATTATAGAAAAAAATTGTCACACGTCATTTTTTGTTAAAATACATGCATTTATTCTTGAATTGAAGAGGTATGTGAGACACTTTGCCAATGACACAAGACAGTTTACATTAAAAATAAGAAAAAAAGCAATTACATTAGCTTATTTCAACTGTATTTAATTAACTTATTTTAAAGTTAAAATACTGATTCCATTGGCAAATCATCTTACTTACCTACTCAAATTAAGGGTAAATGCACTTAAGTTGAGAAATGTTTCTATATTTCTGTTTTTGCAGTGTGGAGTACAGTAGTTAAAAAAATTTAACTAGGTTAACATCATGTAATGAATAGCAATGCTGGCTGATGGCAGATCTATCTGTCCTAGATCTGTCTTACACTGTGGCTGACAATAGCAACAACTTTTGCCCACATTGAAGTCAATTTAAAATTACAAATGGACAATTAGAACTCTGATAAGTAAAAGGCCAAATCTGAAAGTCAAACATATCAAAATGGGATTTTAGTAAAGGTTTTAACAAAAATGATAATAATACACATTAAAATCAGGGCAGAGCAATCAGTTGAGGCACACGTCATCTCAAGGCACTTTGCAGTTCACCAGATCATCCAGTCAGATTGATTCAAAGTTTTCTATCTAAGGAAAACCAGTTGATTGCATCGACTCATTGAT